AATGCCTTCCTCTCTCTCCTCTGCCTTGTCAAGGCCTAACATCCTCCACGAAGGCAATGATGCTTGAACTGAACCTCAGGAATTCCCCCTAAACAACTCCAGACTCTCAGCTGACCTCCTATGAAGTTTATGCCACACAAGTAGTCAGAAAAAATGAGTCCTCAACCAAGAGAAAGTTAAGTCTCAAAAGTTCATCAGTAAGTCAACTGTTTGAAATTCAAAATCCATTCATCCTGAAGCAAAATAAATGGGAAATAGGTTCCTAGGCCCAAGAAAGGTATATAGTCCATACTATAAGTTAACTAGAGTATAAATGTACCTTTACAACTACAAAGAACCACCATTTAAAACATAACTCAAAAGAAAAACACATTCTGAGTTCAGATAATCCAAGACCCTAGAATTAGGGCCTGTGCACACTCTGGAAAAAGACAATTCTAGAGAACAAGAAGCCAAAGCCTAGGGAGTAAACCCTGACACTTCTCATCCATCTGCCCCAACCAGACTTCTATCATCTGAATTACAATTTCTCATGCAGCCCAAGTCTGCTTTAATTCATGTGTGAAATTTTCTCATTCAATAGAAGCAAGACCCTGGAAAAGTACAGAGGAACTGGACCTGCCTACCCCCAGACACACAGGAACCCAGGTAGCAGTCAGAGGAACCTCTTCCTCCCAGACCAACCTATGCAGCAGAAGGACTGCTTCAGTGATTTCTAAGCATAGCCATGGAAAAAGGTATCAGGAAGAACATGGGAAAGTTTCTAATTTGTCCAGAAAACAAATCAGGGCACACCTAACTTCTAATTAACATACATAGGAACTTGGTGGCCACTCACCAGTAGGGGTTAGGTTCTAAGGTCAGGGCAAAAGCTACCTATAACCGAAATTACCCCTGAGATTCTTTTTTCAGTTTTATAAAAGAATTCCATTTTGATTGATTAAAAACATGACTGTAGCCCTGGCCAGTTTGGCTCAGCGGTTAGAGCGTCGGCCTGCGGTCCGGAGAGGCCCGGGTTCGGTTCCCGCTAAGGGCACGTACCTCGGTTGCAGTTTGTCCCCGGCCCTGGTTGGTCGTGCGGGTGGCAGCCACTCGATGTGTCCCTTCACGTCGATGTTTCTCTCTCTCTCTCCTTCTTCTCTCTCCCTCCCACTCTATCTGTACAAAAAATGGAAAAAAATGTCCTCGGGTGAGGATAATAAAAAAAACAAAACAAAAAAACAACATGACTGTAGCCCTGGCCGGTTTGGCTCAGCGATTAGAGCGTCGGCCTGCGGACTAGAGAGGCCCGGGTTCGGTTCCTGCTAAGGGCACATACCTCGGTTGCAGTTTGTCCCCGGCCCCAGTTGGGGTCATGTGGGTGGCAACCACTCGATGTGTCTCTCTCATGTCAATGTTTTTCTCTCTCTCTCTTCCTCCCTCTTTCCCTCCCGCTCTATCTCAAGATAAAAATCCAAAAATGTCCTCAGGTGAGGATTAAAAAAAAAAAAAAGATTGTGCATGTACATAAAAATACATTCAAATATTTGGATACTTTAAATATATATTTTTGTGTGACTTCATATGCTTGATATAAAAGAATCATGAGTCTCCCACAAAGTATTGTTATACAAGCTTCAGATGACCTCACATATCATTGCTGGTCCCATTCAAGTTTGAGAGACTTCAAGGTCAACTAACGAACAGAACTAAAGGAAAGACTGAGTATGGGTTGGCCATTTACACCACTCTGTCCTTAGGAAGACTAACAAACCTCTAATGTGGATAGTTCTTAGGGACTCCAGCTTGCCTGCAGCATTTACTCTATCTTGTTTTAATATTAAGTCTCTGTGACCTTAATGTACAACAGTAGATGTGTCTGTTGTGAGGATTAAGGTGGAAAGAGGTTAGTTTTCTTTTTTTTTTTTTTATCCCCACCCGAGGACATTTTTCCATTTTTTGTTCAGACAGAGTGGGAATGAGAGAGAGGGGGAGAGAGAGAGAGAGAGAGAAACATCGATGTGAAGGGACACATCGAGTGACTGCCACCTGCACGACCAACCAGGGCCGGGGACAAACTGCAACCGAGGTACGTGCCCTTAGCGGGAACCGAACCCGGGTCTCTCTGTACCGCAGGCCAACGCTCCAACCGCTGAGCCAAACCGGCCAGGGCAAGAGGTTAGTTTTCTTAAGTGAGCTGAGAACTGGATGGGCCCCATGGTGCACAGAAAAACCTGGTTAATAACTCAAACATTAAACAGACCCTGCTTCAGATCCCAGTTCCACTGTTTCCAGCGTGTGACCCTGTACAACTTACTGCAGAAAGCCTTTTTTCCTTCATATGTAAATAAAATGGAGATAACAGTGCCTACCTCACAGGTGATGCTGGGAAAATTAAGAAATAACAGTTAGCATATGTAAGCTATTATTATCAGCAGCAGCAGCAGCCATGAGCACATCTTTCTTTTCCATGCTGACTTGGCCAGAGTTGACCCCAGAGCCATGTTATCAAGGATGAAACAGCTTGTTTCCAGCCTTTTCTAATCTCCTGAACTAGACTTTTCTGACTGTCTGACTTCAGGTTTAGTTCAGGCAGCTGTGACCATTAAGAATGACAAACACAGGGGCAAAGTAGAAATATGGAAAGATCTATACATTGTAACACAATATGAGAAAGCAGAATTTGGGAATATGTACATACATCAAACACAATTACATAAAAAGAATGTACAATCAACAAGATCCTAGGAGGCTACAGACACTAAGCAATAACAGTTGGTGCTTTATTGTTCGTTATCTTTGTTTGCTTTTAGAGTCGAGCTGGTTAAAAGGATCATTTTAAGAATAAAGACACTGGATAAGATCTAGTTTCACCAACCTCTTTTTTTCTGTCCCTTCCCCATGCTTGTCATATGTTTTGCAAGATTCTAACAAATGATGCTGAACAGCAATTGATTAATTCTGTTTACAATTTTTCCATTTCAATGCTGATCCAAATTTTACCCAACAATCCACATTAAAGGGTTCATAATAATATTATGAAATCAAATCACTGCTACAGGTGTGAATATGATAAGCATAGTTAAGAAAGCAAGAAACAATCCAGTTGCTTTATTTTGATAGTCAAGGGCACTCACATTCAAGGTCAACCTCATTCTAAAGGTAATGAGCATGTTAGTTTTGGGAGTGAGACCTGATACCAGCCTAGGAATAATGTCTACAGTTAGACCAATCCTGTCTCAGAAATTCCTATTATGTCATCCACAGCCAATCAGAACTTGGAATCGGCATGAAACCATACAGACTTGCAATCCAAACAAAAGCAAGGAAACTTGATGATCTGGGTAGCTTTTGTGTCCGTATCCCAGGTAAATGTATAGTTTCTATTAAGCCTTTTGAAATGAAAATGTACCCCTAGTGCCCATGGGTTCCTTTGCAGGTGTCCAGGCTGGAACCACCATCCCAGGTCAGCTCCACCCAGCAGACTGCAGTGGGACAACTGATCAGCCAGCCTTAATTACTTTCTTAATCCTAGTTCTTTTTTTATTATTATTATTTTTTTTATCCTCACCCGAGGGCATTTTTCCATTTTTTGTACAGATAGTGTGGGAGGGAGAGAGAGGGAGAGAGAGAGAGGGAAACATCGATGTGAAAGGGACACATCGAGTGGCTGCCACCCGCACGACCAACCCGGGCTGGGGACAAACCGCAACCGAGGTACATGCCCTTAGCGGGAACCGAACCCGGGTCTCTCCGGACCACAGGCGGACACCCCAACCGCTGAGCCAAACCGGCCAGGGCCTTAATCCTAGTTCTAAATGGGCAGATACATTTTGGAATTGGGTAGAGGGAAGTATATCAGAAAATCCTAGGAAACATCACACAGATGACCCAGCTATTCCTCCCCATCTCAGGATTTATTAATTGAGGAGGAGAGATTGGAAGACATATTATTAGAAAAACATTCCCCAGTAATTACAGCCTGTGTGTGTGTGTGTGCACACACCCTGCTCCGCCCCACCACCAATACCTACCATGGAATTTAATCAACTTGGAATATCATGAACACATTACACTAACTTAAACACACACACACACACACACACACACACAAAGGTGACAGAATCACCAAGAGCTCAGTTAGAGATTCTATACCAGCTATCCCTAGACACCAGTAACTAGTTAATCCAGTCTACACCTATGTTAGAAGGCACCACTTTAGAGGCAACTGTTTTGTAAGAGGCTTCTGCTCTGTGCCTACATGAAAAAAGGCCCATTTCCATCAAGGTCAATCAACTACTTCAGATATTTTAGAGGAGAAATCAAAGGTAGGCCATTGATTCCATGGGCACAGGACACAATCAGACTAGACTGAGTTCTGCTTCTGATCTTTGATACATGTACCATCATCTCCTGCGGCTAGTCCTAGCCACCCCCTTCCAACATCCCCCCCAAACCCAGGCTGTAGAGTTGACCCCACCCAGGGCCTCCACAGCTGCCCATTCCTAAAAGTATGTTTTATTGCTATCTCAAGACCCAAAGCAAGACAGAAGGCAGAAATGAAAAGCAAGTGGAATAAAAAAGAAACTTGGATGTACAAAGGAACAAGAGAAAAAGCTGTTTCTTGGCAGATCAGGGAAAATAAGCACAAGTTGTATTTCATAACCAGAAATAAGAGTACACAGCTTGGAACCAAACTGTCTAATTCTGGAGGCACAATAAACCTGATGGCCCTACTGGGGCTCCATTGATGTTTCAATGACAGGAAGGCTATAAAGTTGTGATCTTGATGTTTTTCTGTTCACAGGTCCAATAACTGCCTAACAGTTATCTAACTAAGCAGTATCCCGCCCTTTCCAGATGATTAGTGCTGAGTTTGTTGGTGGGTTTTTTCTTCTAGCTTACATGGGTCTTCAGAGAGTACTCTCTGCCAAAACAGAACACTAAAACAAGAGAACTTTCTGGCCATCCATTTGCAATTAGGATCCCATTAAATCCCACTCAGATGCCACCCAAAGTACCTTGCCTGGGACAGCTGAAGAGATCTGGGGCTCTGGTGGCCGCCTCACTGGGATTGGATTTTCTGATCCGTCAAACCCCAGCCCTAGATTGTTGGGAGAAAGAAAAAAAGTGGGACAGCACTTCCTAAACTAAAGTTTGGACATTGACAGCATAGGAATGTTGTTATAATAAAGCTATTCTCTCCCCATGGATATGATGGAGTAAAGTATGCCAAAGGAAATTATTATTTGTTCTCAAAAGAACCTATGTTTGGCAATTATTCCTTTGAAATAAAGATGTATTACAGTTATTCTTTTCTTGAGAAAACACAGTTTTTCCCTCCAAAAACTTTATAACAGCAGTTTACATTTCCATGGTAAAGAATACTGTTTATGTACTAAGCAGTACAGGACCCAGACAACTGAAGCAGCAGGAATTATTTCTTGGAAGAAAGGAGGGCTGAGAACCACAGAGATCCAAGTCAGACACAGTCCTAATCTGTGAGGATTAGGATAGTTAAGTAAGCATCCCACTGAATCAACCTCTAAGGTCTTTACCAACAATATCTTGTTCAAGTCTAACAACTCTGTGAGGTAGGTACTATTATTATTCCACATTTTACAGACGAGAAAAAAGACTAAAAGTGATTTAGGCAACTTAACAAGGTCACAAAGCTACTAATGAGCAGATCTAGAAATCATGCTCCAAGGCCACGATCTTCACCACTGCACTATACTGCCTCAGTCAGATACTTTTATGGACAAATCAATTCAGAGCCAATAGAAGCTTTCTACAGATCCCTGTACTCCAATGAAGAGCTCATCCATTCAACATTTATTGAGCACTGGCTGCCTGCCAAGCCCATCACTGAAAGACAGAGATCTTCACCCTATCTATCCAGAGGGAGCATCAATTCTGGAGGGACCCTGACTCTAAAGACAACTCAGGAAAGCACTGAAAGTGTTTTTTAAAAGTTGCAGTAATTCACAGAACAGGCTAAAAATACTTTAGTCTCTCTACTGTCATCAGCCCCTCAAAGCCTGATTGGGATAACCATCAACCTATTAAGGTAATATGCTCCATATTCTGAAGACTTTCTCATAGTAGAGTAAACCACAGTGTGCAGCAAAAAAGAAATCCAACAGGCCCTCATCAGTCCTCAGTACTACTTATCCTAGCCCACCCTCTAATTCATTGCTACATAGAAGTAAAGGTTCTATTGCATGAACTAAAATCATAACTCCCGACACAGGCTAAAGCTGCTCTGGTGGGAAGGAGCTTCTTGAGGAAAATGGTGGGAAAATGACTCAGCATAGAGTTCCTGATGGCCTCGTTCCCAGCTCTCTCCCCAGTGCCATGAACCCCTGACTCTCCTCACACAGCTCTAGTCCAGTTTTCCCTCTTTCTGCTGGAGCCCAAGCAAATTTTGTAACACAACAAAGACATGTAAGAAACAGAATGTGCTGAGGATTTAGGATCAGTCAATGTCCTTCAGCTAGAAGGCCCACAAACAGTTCCGAAGGTGCGCGAACGCAGGAGAAGACTGTCTTCATGGCCATCTGGAAAGCTGGTCCTTGGCTAACAAAAAGACGTTAAGAGAAACAACAATGAAAGGACTTAAGTAAGACTCGCATATTTAACAGTACAACGGGCTCACACAAATGTGGGTACGGAATAACCTAGTAATGCAGAAATGAGACAACTGATCACACTGACAGGGCAAAGAGAAAAAAGAATTGACAAAAAAAATACCATATTACTTGCAATAGTTGAAGTCAAAGGACAAATTTTAAAACTGACATATTTAGAATCTGAGGCAAGGGGGTGAAGGGGGCAGGAAGAGATAAAGCAAAGAAGTTACATGCACATGTGCACAACCAATGGACACAGACAACAGTGAAGCGAAGGTTTGCGCTGGTCAGTCTGGAGCACAGCCGACCCTGCGATGCTTTGCAAAGAATTGCTTGCCCGCACAGTGTGTTATTCCAAACGCAGATGCGTGTCCATGCATTCCACAAAATACCTGACCAGCTCTCCTCAACAACAGTCAAGTCATCAAAAACAAAACAAAAATGTCTGAGAAACTGTCATAGCCGAAAGGAGCCTGGAGAGACATGGGGGAACTGTACCATGGTCTTCTGGCAGAAGGACAGCAAGCAAAAGCTGAGGAAAGTTGAATGAAGTTTGGATTTTAGTTAATAATAGTATATCAATATTGGGTTAGTAGTTGTGACAAGTGTACCATGATAATGTATGATGTTAATAATGGGGAAATTGGGTGGGGATGCATGGGAATTCTCTGTACTACCTTTGTGATTTTTGTGTAAATCTGAAACTATTTTAAAATAAATGAAGTTCTTTAATAAAAAATAAATAAAATAAAATCATAACTCCCCCGCCCCAAAATACTGCACATCTCTTTTTGTATGCATATGGGAACATACTTCCACCTCTAGGGAAGTTGGTGACAATTAGCTGGGACTTCACTGAGACTAAGAGAGGCTACATCAGATGAGGCTCCCTGAGAGGCTCCATCTATAGCAAATATTCAACCCATATTATTACCTAGTGACTTTACTGATGTCTCTGTCTTCCCTTTTATACTGTTGTCTCAGACAGTTGCTACCTTAGATTTTCCCTATGTAAACTGCTCCACAAAATATTCATCTAAATGTCTCAAGGTACTACCATACAAAAAATAACTTCAAAAATGACACCTAGTGTCAGATGGGTACTAGACTTTTCGGGATGATCACTTTGTAAGGTATATAAATGTCTAATCACTATGTGTACATCTGAAACTGATATAATATTGTAGTCAATTGTAACCGAAAAATAAATTTAAAAAATAATACCTAGTTAAAGACAAACTCTTATTTTTTCCTCAATGTATTATGTATATAAAACAAGCATTTGGAATTGATTATAGATGTAAGGCTCTCTTAATTTCACAGTTTATGCACTGTTACAGGTCTGTTTGCACAAACATTTTAATGTAAGCCAAACCTTTCTAGTTGGACACATGGAATTTATGCTCTGATAAAGGAGGTCATGATTTAACATTAAGTATTTGTCATTTTAACCTGCATTACAATTCACAAAGCAGCACAGTACTCAAGTGGCCCTTAGGGAGCTCGGAGAGGGGTTAGGAGGGAGAGACAATCAAAATATCAATGCAAGAGCTATGAAGGAACATGAGGGTGTCAAGAGTTCATAGCCAGAGGGAGACCTGATCAGTTTGAGTGTCAGTCATGGAAGTGTCCCTGAAACAAGGGGGAATTGGGCTGACATTTCAAGGATGAATCAAAGTTGGCTATGGAGTGGTAACATGGGCAGTCCAGAAAAGACAAGGGATCTGAGGTAGAAGCACAGCCTAATGGAAGAATCCAAAGAACCCACCTTGGATGTCATATAGGGTAAACAGGAGAGGTGAGCAGGGACCAGGTCACAGAGGGCCTTAAAAGCCGCACCGAGGAATTGGTCTTTATCCCAAGAGCAATGACGAACTGAAGGGTTACTACAAGTGGTCAGGAAGCAGCTTTGAAGGTGATCAGATGAACATTCTGAAAAGCTCATTCTGGCTGCAGTGTAAAAGCAGACTAGAAAGAGGCAAGAAGGTTCAGGAAGGTCAGTTAGACTCTTAAAACATTTTAGGTGAGAGACAATGGTAGCCCAGACAAGAGAAGTGGCTGTGGAAATGAAAGGAAGGACTTGAGATAGAGTTACAAGATAAAATGCATGGGACTTGGTGGGTAGGATCTAGAGTGAGGAAGAAGGTGCTCTTAAGGACAAACCTTAGGCTTTGGGCTTACAAGACTTCAGGCTTACAAGAAGGTCACTGTGCCTGAGAATAGGAGGAACAGATTTAAGGGGAATGTAGTAGGTTCAGTTTGAAATTTAGAGGCAAATACTTGGTGACCTCCAAGGGGGGGATGTCAGAAAGGTGTTGAAAACTCTGGTTCAGTCTGGCTGGTGTGGCTCAGTGGTTGAGCATCAACCCATGCACCAAGAGGTCGCTGGTTCGATTCCCGGTCAGGACACATGCCCAGGTTGTGGGCCCTATCCCCAGTGGGGGGCATGCAGGAGGCGGCCAATCGATGTTCTCTCTCATTGATGTTTCTATCTCTCTCTCTCCCTCTCAATCTCTCTCTCTCTAAAATCAATATAGAGAAAAAAAAAAACCTCTGGTTCAGTAACTGATACTATTACATATCCACCCAGACAGGAGACTAATGGTTCCTTACAAAAAACCTAAAACCAGCAGAAAGAGAACTTGTTGGATGATTAAATAATTTTTGTAGTCAGGAACTTCTAACAATACTGTGCAAGAAACATATATAATAAAACCGCTTCAGAAATATCTGCAAAAGTTCAAGTTTTTGGAATATATCTTTCTAGAGAAATTTAATTCCATCTACTATTCTACACTCACACACACAAGTACACACACAAATCCTTCAAATGCTGGCTACTAATTTAAACTAGGAAGCAAACAAGAAATGTTAAAATAGAGAAGGAAAAATAACTGTTTCCTAAAATGAGCAGTGAGGGGTCTTTGCATCACCTAAACAACTCACTTGGTATGTACTAATTTACTCAAAATTTTGAGTTAAGAGTAAGAAAAGAGAGTTATTTTTTTTTTTTAATCCTCACCCGAGGACACTTTTCAATATTTTGTTCAGATAGAGTGGGAAGGGGAGAGAGAAAGAGAGAAACATTGACGTGAAAGGGACACATCGAGTGGTTGCCACCCACACAACCCAACCAGGGCCGGGGACAAACTGCAACTGAGGTTCGCGCCCTTAGCGGGAAGGGAACCCGGGTCTCTCTGGACCGAAGGCTGACGCTCTAACCGCTAAGCCAAACCAGCCAGGGTAAGAGAATTCATTTTTACTGAAGATTTATGTCCCAGATACATCAACACACTCTTCATTTAATCCTCATAGCCCTATGAGTCAGGAATTGTGTTTTCATTCACCAAATGTGGAAACTAAGACAAAGAAATGAAGAAACTTGCCTAAGGGTTAGTAGTGACTAGTAAGGTCAGAAATGGACCAGTCTAGGCAACTCCCTTTACCAATAACCAAGACCAGAAGGGAAGAAGCACCTATTTCCTTGGTCCCAATCTTCTATTGTGGAGGTCGAATGTTGGGAGTTTATTTCGAAAA